ATATTGTTAACAATAAAATTTGCAACAATTTCTGTTATAAAATTTTTCTTATAGCAAGCACCGATTCTCAAACGTTACCTTTAATATCTTGAAAAATAAACAAATTTTTCAAATTTTCAAATTTTTGTATTTTTCTCGATATTGACGAATCTAAGAGCAAAATGCAAGAGAGCAATATTGTTAACAATAAAATTTGCAACAATTTCTGTTATAAAATTTTTCGTATAGCAAGCACAGATTCTCAAACGTTACCTTTAATATCTTGAAAAAAAAAAATTTTTCAAATTTTCAAATTTTTGTATTTTTCTCGATATTGACGAATCTAAGAGCAAAACAGCAAGAGAGCAATATTGTTAACAATCAAATTTGCAACAATTTTTGTTATAAAAGTTTCCTTATAGCATGCTCCGATTCCGAAGTGTTACCTTTAATAACTTGAAAAAGCAACAAATTCATCAAATTTTCATATTTTCGTATCTAACTCGATATTGACGTATCTTTGAGCAAAAATGTAAGACAGCAATATTGTTAACAATAAAATTTGCAACAATTTTTGTTATAAAAGATTTCCTATAGCAAGCTCCGATTCTCAAGTGTTACCTTTAATAGCTAGAAACAGCAACAAATTCATCAAATTTTCATATTTTCGTACTTTTCTCAATATTGACGCATTTAACAACTAATGTGCACGATAGCAATATTGTTAACAATAAAATTTGCTGCAACTTTCATTGAAGAAGTTTTTTTGTGAAAGGCTCCGATTCCCAAATAATTGATAACTTGAAAATGCAACAAATTAACAAATTCATCAAACTTTAAAAAATCATACCGACTTTATTTTTAGGAACTAAAAAACGATTTTCTTATTAAATTAAAGCTTAAAGTTTGACCTTTGTTTCTATGCATAATAAGTATTACATTTTATGATAAAGTTTTTTTGTAAAATCAAAAACGTCAATTTTTGATTGTAGCAGAAATCTATAATCTTTGTTAAACTTTAAAAAATCACACCGACTTAATTTTTAGGAACTAAGAAATGATTTTTTTATTAAATTAATAAGATATTTTTATTGCCTAGATTCATAAATAACCTTTTTTATCATTTCCTTCCTTTAAACAATTTCTTCTTCCCTTTTTAATTTGTTATCTCTAAAAATACGACTTTCATCAATAAACAAATTAAAGAGCTTTTTGTTAAAACTTACTGATTTCGAACATAACAGCAATAAATCATAACTAATATCACAGCTAAAAAACACACACCAGCTACAAATATTCCAGCAAGTGATTGTATTTTAAAAAGTTTTTCATTATAATTTTCAATAACTAAAAGAGAAATCAAATAAAAATAATTTCTTTTTGTGTATTTTCATTATATGTATCTAACAAATTTCCAAATCTTTCCTTTCCAACAAATCCATCTCATTTTTCATAATTAAACTTGTATTTACCACTTGAACGCACTCATTTTCGATCCATTTATGATATTTATCACAATCGCACACACTGTTGTTTAAATTAATCGATGATCAATACATTCGTCGTTATTATTACATCGCTCACGATAATCGCCTGAAATTATCATATATCTGTGATGTACTATTATCATATTTATCTCAAATTGACTTACTGAAAAGATATACGTTAGTAATTAAGAAAGATATTAACAAAAAGCTGAACCAAAACATTTCGATACACAACTGAATGTAAGTTAGTTTTGTTATAAAATAAATTTAGAATGTTAAAATTAGAATATATAAATATACAGTGTCCGCCAAAAAGTTAGCACAGTACATTTTTGAAAATTTTGTTCTCTTTTTTATTTATAAATATGACAATTTCTTCTTCAACAATTTATTCCTAGAAATTTCATTAATATTATCTCATAGTTTTTATATCATATCATAAACTACAATCTTTAAGCTTCAATTTAACATACAAATCATATCATAATTCTTAATAATGCGAATGACATGGTGTTTTGAAAATTTCATACTAAATTTAACAATTTCTTCTTTAATAATTTTCTATTTTTAATAATTTTCATTATTAACACATACCTCATCATACCTCATCTTAAAGAAGACATTTTAAGCTATAAGTTAAGATATGACTCATTTCTTCATTCCTAAAAATAAACCGGAAATGATTTTTTAAACTTTACTCGAAATTAATATCGTTAATCAAAACGTTTTTTCACATTATTTTTTAAAAATCCTTTTCTAATGAACGTTATCATTTCGAAATATCTTATCATACTTCATTTTAAAGAGAATAATTTAAGCTTTAATTTGCGATATAACTCATCTCTTCACTCCCAAAAATGCAGTAGACGCAATTTTTAAAAAATTGACTTTAATCAGTATTTATTAAAATTTATAATTTCTTATATATCATTTTTTATCATTTTTTCCATTATTAACATATACCTCATGATACATCATCTTAAAGAAGACATTTTAAGCTATTATTTAAGATATGAGTCATTTCTTCATTCCTAAAAATAAACCCGATATGATTTTTTAAACTTTACTCTAAATTAATATCGTTAATTAAAACTTTTTTTACAACATGATTTTAAAAAATTCTTTTCTAATAAACGTTATCATTTCGAAATATCTTATCATACTTCATTTTAAAGAGAATAATTTAAGCTTTAGTTTGCGATATAACTCATCTCTTCACTCCCAAAAATACAGGAGAAGCGATTTTTTAAAAATTGATTTTAATCAGTATATATTAAAATTTTAAATTTCTTATAGATCATTTTTCGTCCTTATTTCCATTATTAACATATACCTCATGATACATTATCTTAAAGAAGACATTTTAAGCTATAATTTAAGATATGACTCATTTCTTCATTCCTAAAAATAAACCGGATATGATTTTTTAAACTTTACACTAATTTAATATCGTTAATTAAAACTTTTTTTTACAGCATGATTTTAAAAAATTCTTTTCTAATAGACGTTATCATTTCGAAATATCTTATCATACGTCATTTTAAAGAGAATAATTTAAGCTTTAATTTGCGATATAACTCATCTCTTCACTCCCAAAAATACAGGAGAAGCGATTTTCTTAAAATTGACTTTAATCAGTATTTATTAAAATTTAAAATTTCTTATACATCATTTTTCGTCCTTATTTCCATTATTAACATATACCTCATGATACACCATCTTAAAGAAGACATTTTAAGCTATAATTTAAGATATGACTCATTTCTTCGTTCCTAAAAATAAACCGGATATGATTTCTTAAACATTACTCTAAATTAATATCGTTAATCAAAACGTTTTTTACATCATGATTTTTTAAAATTCTTTTCTAATAAACGTTATCATTTCGAAATATCTTATCATACATCATTTTAAAGAGAATAATTTAAGCTTTAATTTGCGATATAACTCATCTCTTCACTCCCAAAAATACAGGAGAAGCGATTTTTTAAAAATTGACTTTAATCAGTATTTATTAAAATTTGAAATTTCTTATAGATCATTTTTCGTCCTTATTTCCATTATTAACATATACCTCATGATACACCATCTTAAAGAAAACATTTTAAGCTATAATTTAAGATATGACTCATTTCTTCATTCCTAAAAATAAACCGGATATGATTTTTTAAACTTTACACTAAATTAATATCGTTAATCAAAACGTTTTTTACATCATGATTTAAAAAAAATTTTTTTTAATAAATGTTATCATTTCGAAATATCTTGTCATACTTCATTTTAAAGTGAATAATTTAAGCTTTAATTTGCGATATAACTCATCTCTTCACTCCCAAAAATACAGGAGAAGCGATTTTTTTAATGCTGTTCCTGAAGTAATTTTAAACAAATTTTGTTAACAACATTTTTTGATTAAATTAACAATGAGGATATTACCTCAAAAATATTAATTTTTGTAGCATACTGTTCAGTGGGAAATTAAAATTTCAAGTTAGAAAAAAATTGTGTCAACAAAAATTGTTTCTAAAACAATTCTAAACAAACTTTGTCAACAATTTTTTTTGATTTATTCAATAATTAAGGAGATAACCTCAAAATAATAATTTTTCCGTTTTTATACATAATCACACTTACAATTAGATGCTTAATTAATAGATTTTTAAAAAATTTTTATAAAGATAATTGATTCAAAATCGAAATTGAAACAAATTTTATTTAAAACATTTTTTGATAAAAACAATATTTATCGAGATAATTAATTTTGATGGCATACTATTCAGAGGGAAATTAAAATTTCAAGTTAGCATAAAATTCTATTAACAAACACTATTCCTGAAGTAATTCTAAACAAATTTTGTCAACAAAATTTTTTGATTAAATCAACAATAAGGATATAACCTCAAAAATATTAATTAAAATTGAAATTAAAATTTCAAGTTAGAAAAAAATTGTGTTAAAAATTGTTCCTGAAACAATTCTAAACAAACTTTGTCAACATTTTTTTTTGATTTAATCAATAATTAAGGAGATAACCTCAAAATAATAATTTTTCCGTTTTTATACATAATTATACTTAGATGCTTAATTAATAGAGATGTAAAAATTTTTTATTAAGATAATTGATTCAAAATTGAAATTGAAACAAATTTTATTTAAAACATTTTTTGATAAAAGCAATAATTATTGAGATAATTAATTTTAAACATACAATTTCGTACTAAATTTAACAATTTCTTCTTTAATAATTTTTTCCTGCAAATTTCATTAATATTATCTCATAGTTTTTATATCATTCACGAGTATTCTTATTTTTGTTAATAAATGATGGTGGTTTAAATTTTTGGCTCACACTGTATACATTCATACATTCACTTAAAATTTTATTTAATTATCAAATATATAAAAGTACCACAAATATACAAAAATAACCCCATTTAGCATCGATTAAAACGCATAACTTTCAAAAATAAATGTAATAATCAATATAATTATTTCGCATTTTTTAAATTTCCAACATCTTTGACGTTTGACTCATTTGACGTTTACAAAAAAAAACATAACCTAAAAAATTTTTGTCATCATAAAATGTCTAATTTTAATTTAAAAACGGAGTTTTTAGATAAAATAGATCACGGAGAGAGATTAATCAACGATCTTAATAACTACAAAATCGACGGGGTCGTTAAATTACAGCGAAAAATCAAGCAAGAATTAACATTTTTAAGAAAGGTATAACCTCACTTTTTTTTTTCTTTTCAATTCCTCCATAGTAATAGGCTTTAATTTCTAGGTTTACAAAACGAATACAATCAAAAAGGAGCATTTGCAATGCACGAATTTAACCCATTACTCAGCTTTATTAAACACATTAAAAACAGTTACAAATTGTACGAATTTAAGTAAAGTTTTTACTTTAAACGATCGCAAATTGGTTGTTGATATCGTTTGCGATGGGGGATTATCATGGATTAAAGTGGTGGCGAGAAATCCAAAATCGTTGAGTCAAATTTGCGCCGGAGAAACAAATTATGGAGTTCGTTCTATTTTGGACCAAGCGAAAGAATTCATTGAGTGCTCAATTTTGTATCCAACTTTGTTCCAAAAGCCACAAATAACGTTTGTATTCTCTAATGGAGTCGGGGAGCGATTAGCCAACAAATTAGAGTCATTAGGAATCAAAGTTGAAGGAAAAAGGTTAATTTTAAACGAAGAACGAATCGATTTTGACTCAAAAAGCGCAATTTCCGATTTATCCACTAAAAATACATCCCAAATTAATCGAATTAACATCGACGTTTCAACTATGTTAGCTTATGTAAGTTCTGTAACGAATGGAAGTTGTAAAAATTACGATTTTAATTTAATCGGGCACTCTGTTTTGGCGCAACAAGCTCGATGGGAAATTGAAAGACCTGTTAAACCGATTTTAGAGGCATTTTTTAAAGGAAAGAGATTATTTTGTTGTCAAACTGCCAAAGAGGATTTTATTAACATTTTAAAGACCGTGGGAGGTCCAAATGAGAAAATTCGAGGTTTTAAATTCCTTGAAATGATCACCGTTTTACCAGATGATGCTACAAATGATGATATTGAAGCGAATTGTGGTTTTAATAGCGTTATTCAATATTCGGGGGAAACTTTGTTGGAAATTGGGGGGAAAATTCGGGAGAGGTCGCTTCAAATTTTTAGTTTTGGTGATCGAATTCGAGCTGTTACTGTTACTTCCAATGATGGATTTGTTCGAGCTGCCAAACAAAAAGTTTGTTGAACAATTCAATACTAATTGGGATTCAATTGATTTTAATTCGCTTTTTAGGGGGTTAATTTTGTCGTTTTTGTTCATGAGTCTCGTGCTTTGACTGAACAGAAGGAGACCAAGGATACCTTGAAGAAGAAAATGAGTTGATGAAATTATTTTTAAATTTGTATTCATGTTTTAATAAATTTAATTGAAATTAACGAATTTATTTTGTAATCAAACATGTTACTTATTATGCATAGAAACAAAGATTAAAGTTTAGGCTTTAATTTAGTAAAAAAATCATTTCTTAGTTGCTAAAAATAGTCGGTACGATTTTTTAAAGTTTGATCAATTTGTCCAATTTGTTGCTTTTTCAAATTATTAATCATTCGGGAAATTGAGCTTTTCACAAAAAAACTTTTTCAACGAAAGTTGTAGCAAATTTTATTCTTAACAATATTGCTCTCTTGCACTTTTGCTCTAAGATACGTCAATATCGAGATAGATACGAAAATATGAAAATTTGTTACTCTTTCAAGTTATTAAAGGTGTAAAACTTCGGAATCGGAGCTTGCTATAAGAAAACTGTTATAACAAAAGTTGTTGCAAATTTTGTTCTTAACAACATTGCTCTCTTGTATATTTGCTCTCAGATACGTCAATATCGAGATAGATACGAAAATATGAAATAAATAAATAAATAATAAATAATTTGACGAATTTTTTTGTTTTATTAGTGTTAATGGTAACATTTCGGAATCGGAGCATGTTATCAAAAAACTTTTAGAACAAAAGTTGTTGCAAATTTTGTTATTAACAATATTGCTCTCTTGTATATTTGCTCTCAGATACGTCAATATCGAGATAGATACGAAAATATGAAAATTTGACGAATTTTTTTGTTTTATTAGTGTTAATGGTAACATTTCGGAATCGGAGCATGTTATCAAAAAACTTTTAGAACAAAAGTTGTTGCAAATTTTGTTATTAACAATATTGCTCTCTTGTATATTTGCTCTCAGATGCGTCAATATTGAGAAAAATAAGAAAATTAAAAAATTTTATGAATTTCCTTGTTTTACTATTAGCTAATGGTAACATTCGAGAATCGAAGCATGTTACACAAATACTTTTAGAACAAAAGTTGTTGCAAATTTTGTTATTAACAATAGCAACAATATTGCTCTCTTGTATATTTGCTCTCAGATGCGTCAATATTGAGAAAAATACGAAAATTTTAAAATTTGATGAATTTCCTTGTTTTACTATTAGCTAATGGTAACATTCGGGAATTGAAGCATGTTATCAAAAAACGTTTATAACAAAAATTGTTGCAAATTTGATTGTTAACAATATTGCTCTCTTGCACTTTTACTCTTAGATGCGTCAATATCGAGATAGATACGAAAATATGAAAATTTGATGAATTTGTTAATCTTTCGAGTTATTAAAGGTAACGCTTGAGAATTGGAGCTTGCTATAAGAAAACTGTTATAAGAAAAATTGTTGCAAATTTTATTGTTAACAATATTGCTCTCTTGCACTTTTGCTCTTAAATGCGTCAATATCGAGATAGATCCGAAAATATGCAAATTTGATGAATTTGTTCCACTTTCACGTTATTAAGGGTAACACTTGAGAATCGGAGCTTGCTATAAGAAAACTTTTATAAGAAAAATTGTTGCAAATTTGATTGTTAACAATATTGCTCTCTTGCACTTTTGCTCTTAGATACGTCAATATCGAGATAGGTACGAAAATACGCCCATTTACTAATAAGAAAAAAATCGAAAAAAACTGTGTTCTCTGAAAATATTAAATCAGCTAATTTCAATCAAAGTAGGCGCCGAAATAACGCCGTTGACAGCTTTAAGTGTCAAAAAATTGACAGTTTAAACAAATATGGCGCAATTAAGCGAACCACAAAGAATCCAAATATTAATTACAAATTACACAATCCACAGTATCCAAAAAAAAATTCAAAATTGTTGAAACTGTAATTCTTTTGACATTTAAAGTTGTCAACGGCGTTATTTCGGCGCCTACTTTGATGGTAATTAGCTGATTTAAGAGTTTCAAAAAACGCATTTTTTCTAGATTTTTTTCACCAAAAAGAATACGCCATAATTAATAAAGGAACTTGTATTTGAAACATTTTTCTTTAAAACCACAAATGGCGAAGTTATTGGCTATATTCCAGACATTTGACACACCCTGTATATTGTCCGAGTCATCCAGCTGCGCCCTCTTCCCGTCCATAGCCCAATTACCATAAATGTGCAATTCTAGTTACACTTGGCATCTTATTAGATACTAATACGTATTAGTTATTAGTCTTTTCCAGTAGTATCTAACATTCTGGAAGCAGTAGGTAGCTTTTTGAAAAGTATATCTCTTTTCCAAACAATTATTAAACTCTTTGAAAGCAATAAGTAGTCTTGGAAGCAGTATTCCGCTTGTCCAAGTAGATCAAAACCCTTAACAGCAGTGTTTAGCGTTCTGGAAGCAATAGGTATTATTTTGAAAACAGTCTCTAGTCCTTTCCAAGTAAGTTGTGGTCTTTATCTGCGGTATCTAGCATTTTAGGTGCATTAGGTAACTTTTTGAAATAGTATTTCCTCTTTCCAAGCAGTTAGTAGTGTTTTCGCAGCAGGATATAGTCTTCTGAAAGCATTAAGTAGTCTTTGCCAACAATATCTAGCTTTCTCCAAGCAATTAGTAATCTTTCCAACAATATTTAGCATTCTGAAAGTAGTTAATAGCCTTTTGGAAACAGTATCTCGTCTTTCCAAGAAGATAACAGTTTCTCCCAGCAATATTTAGTCTTTTCCAAGCAGGTTCTAATCTTCAGGTTCTATTCTTTTCCCCATCGTTGTTAATTTTTGAGTTATGAACAAGTTTAGCAACAAAAATCAATAATTTGGCTATTATTCAAGATATTAAAGGTAACACTTGGGAATCGGAGCTTGCTATAAGAAAACTTTTAAAAATTGTTGGGAATTTTATTGTTAACAATATTGCTCTCTTGCACTTTTGCTCTTAGATACGTCAATATTGAGATAAATACGAAAATTTAAAAATTTGATGAATTTCCTTGTTTTATTATTAGCTAATGGTAACATTCGGGAATTGAAGCATGTTATAAAAAAACTTTTACAACAAAAGTTATAGCAAATCTTATTCTTAACAATATTGCTCTCTTGTATATTTGCTCTCAGATGTGTCAATATCGAGAAAAATACGAAAATATGAAAATTTGACGAATTTTTTGTTTTACTAGTGTTAATGGTAACATTTGGGAATCGAAGCATGTTATCAAAAAACTTTTAAAACAAAAGTTGTAGCAAACTTTATTCTGAGTAATATTGCTCTCCAATATTTTTGCTCTCAGATGCGTCAATATTGAGAAAAATACGAAAATTTTAAAATTTGATGAATTTCTTTGTTTTATTATTAGTTAATGGTAACATTTGGGAATTGAAGAATGTTATCAAAAAACTTTTAGAACAAAAGTTGTAGCAAATTTTATTCTGAACAAAATTGTTCTCTTTCACTTTTACTCTAAGATGCGTCAATATTGAGAAAAACACGAGAATTTGAAAATTTGATGAATTTCTTTGTTTTACTATTAGCTAATGGTAATATTTGAGAATCGGAGCATGTTATCAAAAAACTTTTATAACAAAAGTTGTAGTAAATTTTATTCTTAACAATATTGCTCTCTTGTATATTTGCTCTCAGATTCGTCAATATTGAGAAAAATACGCTGCAGGATGATTTTTTTAAGCTTTGATATTATTTGTCATTTTTTCTTCAGGAATTATTTTCTCCAAAAATATATTATCAAACCCTACATTATTTTAATTACATCTTAAACTAGACTCTTTCAGCTTCAATTTGAGATATATTACGAATCTTTATTCAAAAAATCAAAATCAGAATGATTTTTTAAATATATTGATTATTAGTTTGTGTATAAATTTGACAATTCTTCGGTTAATAATATTTATCACGAAATTTTTATTATCCTACATAAAGGTTTTTATTTTTTATCCTAAGAAGATATAAATTTAAAAGATATAAATAAGCTATGATTTTTTGAAAATATTGATTATCAGTTTGTGTATCATTTCGTTTTCGGTTAAGTTTAAAATGTTGTGAAAAATCGGTTTCGTTGAAAATCATTATGAAATCGCCATGAATTATTATTAACTAAAGTATGTACTTTCGAATAAAAGTATCCGCGTTGATAAATCACTTTTACTTTTTGAGATATTAATTTTTCAAGTGAACCTCAATTTATAAAGATTTCATTTCGTGTTTGATTAACTTTAAAAAATTGTGAAAAATCGATTTCTTGAAAAATATTTATAAAATTTTCACCGATTATTAACGAAAGCATGCTCTTTCCAATAAACAAAGCCGTTTTGGAAAATCTCTTTTAGTTTTTGAGATATTAATTTTTTAACTCAATCGATTTTATTAAAAATTCGTTGAAACTAAAAAAATCTTGAAAAATCGATTTCTTGGAAACTGTTTATGAAATTTTCACCAATTACCAAGTAAAGTATGCGCTTTCCAATAAAAACAGGCCGTTTTCGAAAATCTCTTTTAGTTTTTGAAATATTAATTTTTTAACTGAATCAATTTTATTAAAAATTCGTTGAAACTAAAAAAATCGTGAAAAATCGGTTTCTTGGAAAATGCTTACGAAATTTTCACCGATTATTAATGAATGTATGCTCTTGTCAATAAAAGAAACCGTTTTAAAAAATCTCTAATAGTTTTAAAGATATAATCTTTTTTATCTCAATTGAATTTTTCTTTAAATTCTCATGTCATTGCTAAATCCCAATTTTGGCATTTTTTGTTCAAAAATTTTTTTCTCCAAAAGTATATCATCAAACCCTGTATTATTTTAATTCCATCTTAAACTAGACTCTTTCAGCTTCAATTTGAGATATATTTCGTATCTTTACTCATAAAACTACATTCAAGCCGATTTTTTGAATTTCTTGAATTTTTGTTAAATTTCAACATTTTGACATTTGAAGATTTTTCTCCAGAAATATATCATCAAACCATACATTATTTTCATTATATCTTAAACTATAATCTTTCAGCTTCAATTTAAGATATAAATCGTTTCTTAATCATTAAAAGTTCAGTAGTTCAGTAGCGATTATCAGTTTTTGTGTAAATTTGACAATTCTTCGGT